CACCTGGAATTCACACAGGCAGATACACAGGCAGACACACAGGCAGGCAGACACACACAGGCAGACACACAGGCAGACACACACAGACAGACACACAGGCAGACGCACACAGGCAGACACACACAGGCAGACACACATAGGCAGACACACACAGACACACACAGGCAGACACACACAAACAGACACACAGGCAGACACACACAGGCAGACACACACAGGCAGACACAGACACACACAGACACACACACAGACAGACACAGACAGAGACACACACAGACATACACACACAGACATATACACACAGGCAGAGACACACACAGGCAGACACACATAGACACACACAGACAGACACTTGAACAACAGTCTGATCCTTCATTCATAATAGGTTACCCCAGAGCCCCCTGTGCACCACACCGAGTCAACCACCGCCGCTGCCTTTCATCAGAAGCCCCCTACGCGACATCGCCCCCCCCCCAAACAACCCCCCCCCCCACTGGTGCACTCTTCCACTGCTGCTGCACCGACGATTGGAGCCACAATCGCGTGTTTCATGCGGGCGGTGCAATTCGCGCAGGAGGCCACGACTGTCCAGGATCGGGCAGGAGGAAGGGTCCGCGGTGGCTCGGAGATGTTAACTACCTCGCCTGGTCTACAGGAGGTTTGCGTGGGTTCCATCCCGACCCCTGCTGTATATTTGCAGTTTGCGTGTTTCTCCCCCCCCCCCCCTCCTCCACGTTTAGACTCCACGTTTAGAATCAACGTCACGCGTTTTCGAGTATTTGGCTGCTGCTAGCAATGTCTCACGTGACGATGATGATGATGAGCCGAAGTTCGTGGAGATCTCTCCCCGTTCGTGACGGCCAGGTCGCTCCTGCTGACAAAAGAGCTACGGAGCTCGGTGGGGGTAAAGTGAAAACAATATTTTTTTATTTTATACGAATAGGGCTTGGAGGAAGTGGGATTTGAACAAAGGGCACCCCCCCCCCCTATTGGAGTCCTTGCAACATTGGAAGGGGAGGGGGGGTCAGTGAGCAAGTCACGGGGACGCAATGAGCTGTTTCAACCGGGGGGGGGGAGGGGGTATGCGACACACGACTGTGCCCCCCTCCCTTCTCCCGACTACACTTTTACTGAAATAGCTACGGGTGGGGTTTTTGTTTTTGGTAACCCGTATCTACAGTAACATGTAGGCTACAACTATATATCGTACTGTTCTCATTTTTTTGTTTGTAAAAAAATTAAACATTTTCAATTAACAAAAACCCGAATTTATGTTTATTCGGGGGGCCCTTTGTGACAGACTGGGCCCCTATTCGTCACATGAAGCTGCTGCATAACAACCCCCCCCCCCCCACTGTGGTTAGTCCAAGCTCGTTAGCCCTTCTCTCATCTCGCCTCTCTCCGTATTGCGATTTCAAACCGCGCCTTTCAATCCCCGGCCCAAAGCCCAATCTCGAGTCGTAGACACGGCGCTCCAAAATCCGCCGCGGATCGGATCGCCCCCCCCCCCTCTCCTCCTTCCTCCATCCCACCCCCCCCCCCCCGATCTGTAAACAGTTCTCGGAATCCGCGTCAACAAACGGGCGCGGTTCTCTCCAAGCGATGATCGTCGACGAGGGTTCACCAAGTCATCATCGTGAAAGAGCAGACGCAAAAAAAACCGCACGCTTTGATGTCTCCTTCTCCCCCCCCCTCCTCTCTCTTGTTCGCTCCGTGCATTTCTGTGGAATGAACCCGCACAGATAGATGGCGGGCGGGCGGGCGGGGGGGGTGTAATAAAACTTGAGTGCAATTTTTTGTTGCTTATATAAAAAAAGAAAAACAATATTATTCATTCGTCTCGTCTCCCTTCTCCGCCTCTGCACGCGTGCGCACGAAACGCTGCTTCGGACCCCCGGCTTGAGGGTTCTCATCGGCGGCGCTTGCGGGGTACCCCCGGCTCACTGGGGGCGGGGTGGCGAGGAGATGTTAACTCCTTCGCTTGGTATACAGGAGGTCAAGGCACCGTTCCCGACCCTGGCGCCTGCTGCTGTATATTTGGAGTTTGCATGGCTCGCGCTCTCTCTCTCTCTCTCTCCCCGTGGTCGCGTGGATTTTTCTCCGGGTCCTCCGGGTTTTCCCCCTAAACGCTTTAGAACCAGGAGTGGACGTTTAGGGTATTTGGCTGCGATAAATGTCCACGTGAGAAGCCACTTCTCGTTGGGGCTATCATTTACGATAGCCAGGTGGCTTCTCAAAACAAGCTATATAGCTCAGTGGGCCTCACTTGGTAAAATAAAATAAAAAGATGGTTGAGTTTTAGTTGACATTTACCACCGCTGCTGCATTGCCTCACCCCCATCATACACCGCCCAGGTTAAACCTCCTGAACCTGTAGCTGGGTGGCAAAGGAAGCACTGCGGATCCGATGTGCCAGCTGACAGGTGGGTGGTATACAGCCCCACTCTGCTGCTGATGATTTTGCTGCTGTTGTTGTTGCTGTAGCAACAGCATTCCTCGGTATCGCCGCGTGGAATGCGCAGGGCACAGGTCACCGTCTCGACCCAGGGCGAGGGCTGCGGGAGTGGGGAAGTTCTCCATGAAGCTGAAGGGCCTCTTGCCGAGGAGACCCACCCCAGTCGCAGCAGCACCAGCAGCACCAGCAGCACCAGCAGAAGCAGCGGTCCCCGCTCCCGTGTGAGCGGGGTTCGATCCCAGCACCAGCGCGGAGCTCGACCCAGATCCTGACCCAGATCCTGACCCAGAGCCTGACCCAGATCCTGACCCAGAGCCTGACCCAGATCCTGACCCAGATCCTGACCCAGAGCCTGACCCAGAGCCTGACACAGGTCCTGACACAGAGCCTGACCCAGAGCCTGACCCAGAGCCTGACCCAGAGCCTGACCCAGAGCCTGACCCAGAGCCTGACCCAGCGCATGTTCCAGTTCCCGCCGCCATCTGACTCCGGGCGTGTGCGCCCGAGACGCCCAGATGGTGCGATGGAGGAGGAGGAGCGGCTCGCCGCCTCTTGGGCCAGGCTATGACCTCCCGCGTGGAGAAGCCGCCATCATCATTACCATCATCACCATCGTCACCACCACCATCACCACCACTATCGTCACCCTCCTCCTCCATTAGCAGCAGAGGAGGAGGGGCGCGAGGGTTGGACTGCCTGAGGCTCCTGCGGGGCATTATCGCCTTGCCTCCCTGCACCAACGCGCCGCCGCCGTAGCCGCTGCTGCTGCTGTTGTTGTTGCTGCTATCATGAGTGATGCTGTCGCTGCTCTTGCCGACGCAGCTGCTGCTGTTGGTATGATGACTGCTGACGTTGGTATGATGACTGTTGGCGTTGGTATGATGACTGCTGGCGTTGGTATGATGACTGCTGCTGTTGGTATGATGACTGCAGCTGTTGGTATGATGACTGCTGCTGTTGGTATGATGACTGCTGCTGTTGGTATGACTGCTGCTGTTGGTATGATGACTGCTGGCGTTGGTATGATGGCTGCTGCTGTTGGTATGATGGCTGCTGCTGTTGGTATGACTGCTGCTGTTGGTATGACTGCTGCTGTTGGTATGATGACTGCTGCTCTTGATATGATGACTTCTGCTGTTGGTATGACTGCTGCTGTTGGTATGATGACTGCTGCTGTTGGTATGATGACTGCTGCTGTTGGTATGATGACTGCAGCTGTTGGTATTATGATTGATGCTGTTGCTGATTTTGCTGCTGTTGTTGGTATTGTGAGTGATGCTGTTGCTGCTGCAACTCTTGCTGCTGTTGTTGGTATTGTGAGTGATGCTGTTGCAACTCTTGCTGCTGTTGTTGGTATTGTGAGTGATGCTGTTGCTGCTGCAACTCTCGCTGCTGTTGTTGGTATTGTGAGTGATGCTGTTGCTGCTGCTGTTGGTATTGTGAGAGACGCTGTTGCAACTCTTGCTGCTGTTGTTGGTATTGTCAGTGATGCTGTTGCAACTCTTGATGCTGCTGCTGGTATTGTGACTGATGCTGTTGTTACTGCATTTGCTGATACAGCTGCTGCTGTTATTGTGACAGCTGCTGCTGATGGTACGGTGACTGTATCTGCTATTGTAACCGCTGCTGTTGCTACTAATGACGTGACTGCTGTTGTTACTGCCACAGCTATTTATGCTGCTGCTGAGGCTACTGCTGTTGTTGTTTTGACGAGACCTGCCTTTGCTGTTGTTAATCATTTTGGCATTAACTATTTTTGCGCTACTGCTATCAGTTGCATTGCTGGTGCTGCTATTGATATTGTTGCTACTGCTATGTACTCTCTTGCTGCTATCAGTTATATTGTTATTGCTGCTTATGCTATGAATTGTTTTGCTCTTGCTCGGAATTACGCTGCTGCTGCTATCAAATATATTGCTGCTACTGCTATGAATTATCTTGCCGTGTGTATGAATTGTGCTGCTGTTGAGATCAATTATATAGCTGTTGCCGCTACTGCTATTAATTATATTGCTGTTGGTATGCATTGCATTGCTGCTATCAGTTATTTTGCCGTTGGTAGGAATTGCACTGCTGCTGCTATTAACGCTATTGATATTTGTATTAATTGCACTGCTGTTGCTATTAACGCTATTGATATGTGTATGAATTGCACTACTGCTGATACCAGTTGTATTTCTGATGCTACTGCTATGCGTTATGCTGCTAGGAATCGTGTTGCTATTGCTGTTGCCGCTATGAATTCTATTGCTGCTGCGTTTGCTACGACTTGTATTACTGCTGCTGCCATGAATAACACGTGTGATGCTGCTGCTGTTCATTCTATTGCTGCTGCTCTTCCTACTGTGAATTACATTTGTGATGTTGTTGCTGCTACTGCTGCTGTGAATTCTAATTCTCCTGTTGCTGCTCTCGTTACTGCTGCTGTGAACGCCACTGTTGTTCTTGACATTCACTTTGCTGCTGCCGCTGCTGCTACTGCTGCTGCTATTACAGCTGCTATAGCCGCCGTCCCCAGCGCTGGCTATTGTTGTTGTGAACGCCTCTACTGCTGCTGCTGCTGCCGCCGCAGCCTCCGCTGCTTTTCCCACCGCCACCGTCTCCCACACACGAACCCCGACCGCTCCGCGAAGGGACCGACCGGGTTCGGACGTTCGACCCCAGCCTCGTGGCCCCGTGTGACACTCGGCACCCCCTTGCGTCTCGTCTCCCGCCTCCCTCTTCGCCTCGGCCTCCTCGTCCGGGTCTCGGCGACGAGGCGAGCGCGCCCGGCGTCGCGATTCGGGACAAAGAATCCGCGAGTCCACGTGGCAGACGTCAGTGAGTGGAGCCCCGCGCGGGCGACGAGGGGGGGAAGCTGGACGAGGTGGGCGATGACGGCGACGAGGAGGAGGAAGAGAATGAGGAGGTAGAGGAGGTAGAGGAGGAGGTGCGGGATGGTGGCGATGATTCAGAGGAGAGGCGAGCGGCTTGGCTGGACTCGGGCATTGTAAGCGTTTTTTTATCCGCACTTTGAGCGAGCGAGCTGCTGCTGTTACCGTTGATGTCCGCACTGGTGGTGATGGTAATGATGATGGTGATGATGATGATGTTGATGGTGTTGATGATATTTTCGCTATCGCCGTAGTGAGCGCAGGCTCCGCGTCGCGACCGTCCAACAACGACGCGAAATACGATGAAGGTGGCGATGATGATGATGACGAGGACCATGGTGGCGGCGGCGGCGGTGGTGGTGGTGATGGTGCCGCAAGTGGCGACGGTGCCGTCGCTAATGTTTTTAACGACGTCAATGACGTCGACGACGTTGACGACGACGAGGAGCCGAACGACTGTAGCAGCCTCGCCTGGGCCTCCCTGCAGGCAGCGGCGCGGACACCCGTGGAGGGGTCCCGCGAGCCACACGCGGCGCGCCCCGCGAACGCCGCGCACAGAGACCACAACAAAGACGACGACGACGAGGAGGAGGAGCAGGGTGACGATTTCGCTGCTGCTGCTGCTGTCGTTGTACAGGCCGATCCGAACACACGAAGAGGCGGCGGCGGCGGCGGCTCCGCCACGGATCTCCAGCCGAGGAAGGCGCACGGACTACCCGCCGATCCACCTCCTCCTGCCTCGCTGAGCCGAGGATCATGGCGAGGCGGAGAGGCTGCGCGACTCCGCGCCGCTCCTCCTCCTCCTGCCGCGTGCCGCTCCGTGCGCACGCGGCTGCTGAAGGCGGCGCTGGCGAACGCCGCCTGCGGGAAGCCGAACGGGGGCGCCGGGAACGGGCGGCCGGGGCCGCGCGTGGGCAGCGGTGCGGGGCGCGCGGGAGGAGCGGGAGGAGGATGGTGGCGATGCTGAAGAGGAGCTGGAGGACGAAGAGGAGGAGGAGGATGTTGGTGAGGATGAAGAGGAGGATGTTGGTGAGGATGAAGAGGAGGAGGAGGATGAAGAGGAGGAGGAGGCAGGCAGCCGAAGCCGACTCTCACTCCTCCTGCGCCATCGCTGCTGCTGCTGCTACCGAACCCCGCCCGCCGGTAGCGGATGCTGTGCAGGGACGTGCGGCTCGAGGCCGAGCTCGAGTCGTCGCTACACGAGCTCTCATCATCATCCTCATCATCCTCATCGTCATCTTCCTCCTCGCTCGAGTCGCAGTAGTCGAAGCCTTGCTGCACACTCTTTTTAACCTCATCCTCCTCCTCTCCATCATCATCATCGTCCTCCTCGGAGACTCCAGACGAGAGGCTGCTGCCGCTGCTGCCGCTGCTGTCAAGGCCGCCGCGCTTTGCTTCTCGCGCCTCCTCGCCCGCCTCTCTCCCTGCGGGCTCGCTCCCAGTCACCCGGCCCGGCCACCCTCGTCCACCTACAGCCGCAGCTGCTGCTGCTGGTGCGGCTGCTGCTGCTGCTACAGGGGCTGCTGATGGGGCTGCTGATGGGGCTGCGTCTTCATGGCAGCTCGACAGCCAGAGGCCGCGGTGGGCCGGAGCCGCGCATTTGACGTCTCCACCACCGCCACCGCCTCCCCCTCCTCCATCTCTATCCACGCGGCCCAACCTCTCGGCCTCCTTCCCTCCCGGCCGCTGCCTCCGCCGCTGGGGACTCCTCTCAGCCGCGGCGCTCGGCCGAGAGGGCGACTCGCCAGGAGCGGCGCGACGAGGCGGCCTCGGGGGAGAATCGGCGGAGCTCCCGGCAGGAGGAGTGGAGCCGGGTCCGGGCACGACGGGGCGCGCTCTCGTCGGAGCCACCGGCCCCGCGTCCTCTCCTCCTCCCGCCGATCCTCCTCCTCCCGCCGCCGCCGCCGCTCGCCACGCGCTCCCACCTCGTCCGAGCGCCGACCGCACTTCGTTCCCAATGATGGACGCGTTGTTGTCGGAGTCGCTGGCGTTGTTGTTGTTGGAGCCGCTGGAGGCGACGTCTTCCCTTGCGGTGGAGGAGGTGGAGGAGGAGGTGGTTGAGGCGGCTACGAGGAGCAGGCGTCGGCGCTTCGCCGCGCCGAGGACGCGCTCCGCGCGACACGAGCGGCACAGCAGCCGCACGTCCGCGCGCGAGATGAGCGTGCACCTCGCGGCGCGCAAGGCGACCGAGCGGATGGCCTTGAGGCGACGCAGCCCTGCGAGGCCGCAGCGGTGCTTGGCCACGCGCAGGCGGTCCATGCGCTTGTGCACCGTGGTGCGAGGCACGTGGCGCAGGAGGTCGGTGAACACCTGGGCGAGGGCGAACATCTGGCGGCCGTCGACCAGCAGGTAGCCGAGGGTCGCGCCGTTCACGCGGGCGAAGCCCGACGCGGGGGCGGCGTCTCGCTCGCGGGCGCACGACATCGCTGGCCCGCGTCGGGTGCCTGGCGGGGAGAGGGGGAGGGTGGGGGAGCCGGCGGAGCGGGAAGGGTGTGGAGGAGGGATGGGAAGGACGGCGGAACAAGTAGGCAACAGAAACGGCGCAAATTGACGACAAAAGGAGTGTTTGGCTCGGGAGGCTGAACGTGGGTTTTGGTGGGGGGGGCAGAGTGGACGCCGCCGTCGCTGCAACGGATCTGTGGTCGGTGAGTGGAGCGAGATGGTCACCACTACCAGCACCAGCACCACTACCAGCACCATCACCACTACCAGCACCACTACCAGCACCATCACCACTACCAGCACCATCACCACTACCAGCACCACTACCAGCACCATCACCACTACCAGCACCATCACCACTACCATCACCACTACCAGCACCATCACCACTACCAGCACCATCACCACTACCATCACCACTACCAGCACCATCACCACTACCAGCACCACTACCAGCACCATCACCACTACCAGCACCATCACCACTACCAGCACCACTACCAGCACCATCACCACTACCAGCACCATCACCAACACCATCACCACTACCAGCACCATCACCACTACCAGCACCATCACCACTACCAGCACCATCACCACTACCAGCACCATCACCACTACCATCACCACTACCAGCACCATCACCACTACCAGCACCATCACCACTACCAGCACCATCACCACTACCAGCACCATCACCACTACCAGCACCATCACCACTACCAGCACCAGCACCATCACCACTACCAGTACCATCACCACTACCAGCACCATCACCATTACCAGCACCATCACCACTACCAGCACCATCACCACTACCATCATCACCACGACCACCACTATCACCAGCACCACCACCACTATCACCATCACTACTACTATCACCACCACCATCACCACTACCACCATCACCACTACCACCAGCAGCAGCACTACCACCACCACCACCATCGCTCTACCACGTGAGGGTTGTGCTCTCGCTTCGCAGGCGTCCACGTTGCGCCACATCGCAGACTCAAACTACATCGGGAGTTGTCGCCGCATTCGTAATATTGATGTGTGTGTGTCTTTGTTAAGATGTGTGTGGTACGGTGTGTGTGCGTGCGTGTGTTACGGCAAGTGTTACGATGCTTGTGTGTGTGTGTCCGTGTTTTCCTCGATCGCTGGGGCGATAGTTGAGCTCACGAAGAGAGCAACGATTATGTAACGCACGTGAGGAAATCACTTTGCAGCCAGAACAGAGAGAGAGCAAACACACACACACACTGCGGCTATTTACATCGGCAGGCTGGGAATGCGTCTCATCATATTGGCGCTATTCGTTTATCTCCTACCAAACAACACACACGCAAACTAAACAAAAAAAATACAAACCTATAAGCACATGGGGGAGACGCACTGGGCTGGGAAGAGATCGTCCAAACTCTTCCCGGTGTCAACCCCTACCTTCGCCCGTGATTGGGAAATTCGGCCACATCTCCCTGTCGTGCTGGTGGTGGTGCTGCTGCTCGTGGTGGTGGTGGCCGCGTGCGTGCAGATCGTGCGGCGGCTTTCCAATTGGCGCGGAGCAATTGAAAGTAATAACTCGACGTTTCGGGACGTTATCCAAAATAATATGGATTTTTTTAAATACACGCTTTACCGTATGTGTGTATATATGTGTATATATGTGTGTGTGTATATATATACACACACATACACACGTAAGTAAAGATACCCATATAGCTTTAAGAGACCGCATACATTAAGACAAAGATCAACCGTATAGTCTTGAACAGACTTTTGGTGGCAAGTGCTGTTAAGCGAGCACCTTCGACAGCCGGCACGGCACACGAGGAGGATAGGTGGCCAGCACCACCCCCTCCCCCGACCGCCTTTGTCTCCCCCAAGTGGCCACGTGTGTATACCGCACGGGGTTACTCAGCCGCTGCACCACCGTTCCCCGCCACCCGCCACATGTCGACAGTCGCCAAACGCAAGTGAGAGCGACGCACAGTGGGAGACACGCGCGTACCTTGTAGCAGCAGCAGCAACAGCAGTCGTCGTCGTAGTAGTAGCTACGGTGGATCGAGCAGTGAAGTGGGTCACTCATTCCGCGTCTGTGGACGGCTGATACAGGGCGCCGGTGAATGCGTAAGAGGGCGAACACAGCGTCTCCATCATCATCATCATCACGACCACCATCACGACCACCACCGTCATCATTACCGGACAGGGGAGACAGAGGGGGAAGCTGTCTCACTGCGGACGACCAGACGAAAATACCCGGTCTCTTTCCTCTCTCTCTCTCCACTGCTATATACCTTCATCAATTAATTTCCTAGAACTCTGCTATGATTGGACGGCGCAGACAGGTCATGGAATGGAAAAGGGTGGGAGGAGGAGGAGGGGGGAGGAGAGATCGAGATGTGGGGGGTTGAGGTGGGAGGGAGCGCAGCAGAGCCGTCATCCCCCCACCACCACCACTCTCACCCCCCCTTCCATCAATGCACAATGCCGCACCAAGGCATACATTTGTACATACATACAATCCATATTCAACCTCCACCCACTCTCTCATCCCCCCCCCCACGCTCCTACCCGGTCGACCTATTAAGATGATTAGCATACCACGGAGATCTCCATCTCTGTGCAAGGTCAATTAAAATGTAAATACTCTACAAACAAACTGCTCTTGTGCGCGCGCTCGCCGGGATTTTCATCCGCATTGTTAGGCGCGGAAAACAATGGACGCGGATTTGGATGGATTTTTAACAATTTTTGGAGGTGTGTGTGTCTCTATGTGCGTGTGTAGCGGTTAGCGCGCTGCGCTATGAACCCGGCCACCCGAGTTCGATTCCCGCTCACGGCCAACACCCAGTGACGATTATCTGAACCGGTCCTGGGCCTCCCCTAGGTCGACTCAGCCTCAAATGAGTACCTGGTGCGGTGTGTAAACATCGCCACTGGAGAGACAAAGGCGGTCGGGTGCGGTGCTGGCCACCCACCCCCTCGTGTGCCGTGCCGGCCTTCATAGGTGCTCGCTAACAGCACTTGCCCCTGCAATCTGTTCAGACCTATACGGGGGATCTTTGTCTTTGTGTGTGCGTGTGTTTGGCTGTGGGGAGCGGTCGGGCAGTGGTTGGCCCTGCGCTACAAACCCGGCGACCCGAGTTCGATTCCCGCTCACGGCCACCGGCACCATTGACGATAATCTGAACCCGTCGTGGGCCTCTACTAGGTCGACTCAGCCTTAAATGAGTATCTGGTGTGATTTCTAATACATCAGCACTGGGGAGACAAAGGCGGCCGCCAACAGCACTTTCCCTAAAAGTATGTTAAGGCTACACGGGCGTCTTTGTGCGTACGTCCCTGCGTACGTGAGCATGCACGCGTACGTGCGTGTGTATGTGTGTTTCAGAGTTTGTGCGTGTGTGTGCGTGTGTAAAGCAAAGTGCATCTAGCCTGGCACAGCCGCCTTGTGTTGTTTGTGTGTACGCGTGCATTTGTGTATGCGTGACCGAGAGAGTCTGTATGTGTGTGTGCGTGTCTTGTATCGGTGAGAGAATATCATTGTGTGCGTGTGTTCTTTTGTGCGTGAGCGAATATCCTGAGGAGTGTATGTGTGTGTGTGTGCTACACTCTGAGTGTGTCCCTGTGTGTGTGTGGGTGCGCCTCCGATTAGCACGGTTGGCTACGTACGGTGCGAAAGAAGTTCATACATACGGATAATCTTTATGTGTGTGCATATAATCGGTTATGTGTATTTTGAGAGATGCGTCTGTATGATTTTGTATCTCTGTGGGTACGTTTGGGCTAAATCGGCTTTCACTATGCACCGTTTGTATAACCCGAACCAGAGCGATGTTTCTCAATTTATATCTGAACCACGTAGTTCCTCCTCCAGGTCGGCTCGGCCTTAAATGACTACCCCGGTGTAATCATAATTATAACGCTCAATCTCTCACGCTTTTGCGGCCTTAATAGGTGATCGCAAACAGCACTTGCACCCAACAATCACATACGGCGAGAATTTGTATTTCGCGTCTTTAATTCACTTCTTGTGTGTGTGTCTTTGTCTCTTGCTATGCCTGTGTGTTAGTGTGTGTGTGTCTTTGTGTGTGTGCCTCTTGCTATGCCTGTTTGTTAGTGTCTGTGTGTCTTTGTGTGTGTGTCTCTTGCTATGCCTGTTTATTAGTGTGTGTGTTTGTGTGTGTGTGTCTTTGTGTGTGTGTCTCTTGCTATGTCTGTGTGTTAGTGTGTGTGTGTCTTTGTGTGTGTGTCTTGCTGTGTGTGTCTTTGTGTGTGTGTCTCTTGCTCTGCCTGTTTGTTAGTGTGTGTGTGTCTTTGTGTGTCTCTTGCTATGCCTGTTTGTTAGTGTGTGTGTCTTTGTGTGTGTGTCTTGCTCTGCCCGTGTGTTCGTGTGTGTGTGTCTTTGTGTGTGTATCTCTTGCTATGCCTGTTTGTTAGTGTGTGTGTGTCTCTTGCTCTGCCTGTTTGTGTGTGTGTGTCTTTGTGTGTGTATGTGTGTGTCTTTGTGTCTGTCTCTTCTTCTGCCTGTGTGTTAGTGTGTGTGTGTCTTTGTGTGTGTCTTCCTCTGCCTGTTTGTCAGTGTGTGTGTATTTGTGTGTGTATGTGTGTCTTTGTGTGTGTCTCTTGCTATGCCTGTTTGTTTGTGTGCCTTTGTGTCTGTCTCTTGCTATGCCTGTTTGTTATTGTGTATTTGTGTGTTTCTTGCTATGCCTGTTTTTTAGCGTGTGTGTGTGTCTTTGTGTGTGTGGCTCTTGCTCTGCCTGTTTGTTAGCGTGTGTGTGTGTCTTTGTGTTCGTCTATGATATGTTGAACTTCTTTCGCACCGTACGTATCCAACCGTGCTACTCGGAGTATGCTGGTGTTGGGGGGGGGGGTGTATATGTTTATCGCCGACCTGCGTTCGATTCCCGAGCACGGCTAACCATGGAGTGGCGCATTACGAAACCGGTCCAGGACCGCCTCCTATGCACCGGGGAGACAAAGGCGGTCTCGTAAGGTCGACGGCCTTAATAGGTGCTCGCTGTGACAGCACGTGCCCCAACAGTCTAATGACTCTCGCCCGCACGCCTATGAGAGAGACGGCGTTGTGTTTTCCCTGGCGCGGGTGAGTTCGACTTCCGTTTCGCGTCTCGGGCCTTTCGCGGGCGAGAGGAATCCTACCGATTGCTCCCCCGCTCGAGACTTGTTCTACCTTTCACACCGCGGCCAGCTTCGCGAGGACAGTGTCGCGAAACGTTGGACACAAGACAAAGATAGCCCACCCCGTGCATAGCCTAAGCAGGAGGAGGTGAGCCTACCAGCACCACGCCCGGCCGCCTTTGTATCCCTAGGCCGCATCGACCTAGGGGAGGCCCAGGATCGGTTCAGATAATCTGTCACTGGTGTTGACAGGGAGTGGGAATTGAACCCGGGTCGCCGGGTTCGTAACGAAACGCTGAACTACCGCTCCCCGAAGACAAAGATCCCCTCGTGGAGCCTGAACATACTGCTGGGGCAAGTGCTGTTAGCGAGTAGCGCCTACGAAGGCCATGCACGGCACACGAGGATTTGGGTGGCCAGCACCAGGCCCGGCCGCCTTTGTCTCCCCAGCGTTAATGTATTTTACACACCTGCACTCGGCTACTCAATTGAGGCCGAGTCGACCTAGGGGGAGGTCCAGGACCGGTCCAGGTAATTCCATCACCGGTGTTGCCGGGTTCGCAGCGCAGTATGCTAACCGCTGCGCCACCGCTCCCCCCCCCACGCACGCAGACAACACGACGCGCACGTACACAACGAGACGGGAGCGTTCACGTGTTGACCAGGCGAGCCTGAACTTCGTCCCATGATGCTTCGTGCACTCAATGTGCGTGTGGACGCGACAGACGGTCCCGTCGAGCTAACCTGCCGCTGCGTCGTCAGTGGTGCACGATCAGCGGTGCACGATCAGCAACAACAACAACAAGACGGTCCGTCGTCAATAACAACACTGCGTGGTCTCAAAGAGAACAACGTTGATAATCGCCGACGTTTCGGGAAATGGGCCCTCGTTCACAGAGCATAGAGGAGGCCCGTCTCTCTCTCTCTCTATGTGGTGCTGTGAAGAAACGTCGCCTAATTATGCACGGTTCCTCTTTTTAAAGTTGTTATTGACGAATTGCTTTGAGTATTTTTTTCCGTGTTATAAATCACACACGCACAATAGACCCCCCCCCCCATCCCCCACTCTTTCACAAACCCCCACTGACCGGCGTGGTGAAGTATGGTCCAACAAACCCTTACGGAGCCGACCCCTCACCGCCGGCAGAGGCTTTAGTCCCGCAGCACTTGATTGCAATGGGATTGTAAGTCATCATCATCATTATAACCACCATCATTATCACCATCATCATTATCACCATCATTTTCACCATCACTATTACCACCATCATTATCACAATCATCATTATCACCACCATCATTATCATCATTATTTTCACCATCATCACTATCACCATAACTATCACCATCATTATCACCACCATCATTATCATCATTATCACCATCATCACTATCATCATCATTTTCACCATCATCACTATCACCATTATCACCACCATCATTATCATCATTATCACCATCATCACTATCCCCATCATCACTATCACTATCACCATCATCACCATTATCACCATCATCATTGTCACCACCAATATCATCACTATTATATCACCATCATTATCATCACCATCATCATTATCACCATCATTATAACCATCATTATCATTATCACCATCATTATAACCATCATTTTCACCATCATCACTATCACCATCCTCATCACCATTATTATCACCACCACCATCATGGTCGTCATTACCATCGCTCCTGCACTGTGGAGGTATTTTATTGGACGTGGCGAATGTTTTGTTTTTGCAGATGAAGGTCGGACGTAAGTGGTCGTTATTCCATCAACCTTCCTCTCTCTCTAATCCATGTCATAGCCTAAACGCACCTAGAGTTTACATATATATCCGTGTGTGTATATATATAAAACAATACTGAATTGACCGGTGACGTGATTTTTATCCACTTTCAGTCGACTTTAGCATCACACTCCGCGGCAGGCCAATGACTGTTCACCGATGACGACCGGGGCTTGTGTGTGTATGCCAGTATTTAACGCGGAAAACTGTTCGCGAGGATCTGTAAGGCTAAGATTCGCCCCCCCCCCCCTCCTCCTCCGTAAGCGTTTAAAACCATGAATACAACAACAAACACCCGTCCAGTTATAAGACGCAGGCTCAACAACATTGCATCCGTCCAGTCCTAGAACGTCCACAGAGCGTTTGGTCACGTCACACCGATCACGACCGTGTCGTCTATACCATAGAGGTATTCACGGCCGTTAATTATTGATGATTTTACTCAATGAGAAAACGACATTCCCTCGTTTTCAAATGTTTTTTTTTCAAGAGCGTGCAGCCGTGTGTGTACGTATGATCACTGGGGAGACAAAGGCGGCCGGGCGTGACGCTGGCCGCTCACCCACCCCGCACCACACCCCCTGTGACATCGGTGCTGGCCGCTGACAG